GAACCAGGAGAATTTTTCCACCCTACTGCTGCAAAAGTTAAAAAGACGAGGCCATAAACTACGCTAGAATAAGCTGGGTCAACATGCCCGTCGGTGGATAGATTGTTGATGCTACTGCACGCACGTGTTTATGTCTGTGCTATAAGAAAGTTGGGATATGCCTACACGTTGTTAAGGCAACCGGATTTGCTGGGGTTGCATGTCCTGGTATACCAGCTCCATCACAAAGATTTGTGCGGTCGGCACAACAATCGCGCACTGCAGCTCGGCGGATTGCGAATGGCGACGTAGATACAGACAAGAGCGAAGGTGGCCCACTTTTCCGGAATCTGTATGATTTGCACCATGCTATCGATGAAGAGCACTATCTCTGTAAACAAGAGTTTGTTGTGAGGTCATGGCGTGGAGCGGGTATGCTATCTCCTCGGTTTCGACGTGTGGCAAATCACATTATTTCGCAGTGGATAATTAAAGCCCGCTTTTCGCACTGGCAAGCTTTTCATACCCCCACAGGCTACGCGGCTACTAACAACCCGCTTGAGCAGTACCACTACACCTTAAAGCTTGTGAATGACAGCAAACGGGCTAGCCCGGCAAAGCTTGTAGTCCGCCTGGATTTGTCACGAGTTTCGTTTATCTCCTCGATGCAACCCTTTTGCGATCAGCCTACTGTATCCAAACGTTTACTGGCTGCTCACAGAAGGATTAATTAAAAGGTCATGACTGCAGAATTGATTCACCGATACAACAATTTAGTTTTGGTTCGTGTCGCACCATCTCCGCTTCCAACGAGTTCATCACAAGAACCAGGAGAATTTGTCCACCCTACTGCTGCAAAAGTAAAAAAGACGAGGCCATACACTATGCTAGAATAAGCTGGGTCAACATGCCCGTCGGTGGATGGATTGTTGATGCTACTGCACGCACGTGTTTATGTCTGTGCTATAAGAAAGTTGGGATATGCCTACACGTTGTTAAGGCAACCGGATTTGCAGGGGTTGCATGTCCTGGTATGCCAGCTCCTTCACAAAGATTTGTGCGGCCGGCACAACAATCGCGCACTGCAGCTCGGCGGATTGCGAATGGCGACGTAGATACAGACAAGAACGAAGGTGGCCCACTTTTCCGGAATCTGTATGATTTGCACCATGCTATCGATGAAGAGCACTATCTTTGTAAACGAGATTTTGTTGTGAGGTCATGGCGTGGAGCGGGTATGCTATCTCCTCGGTTTCGACGTGTGGCAAATCACATTATTTCGCAGTGGATAATTAAAGCCCGCTTTTCGCACTGGCAAGCTTTTCATACCCCCACAGGCTACGCGGCTACTAACAACCCGCTTGAGCAGTACCACTACACCTTAAAGCTTGTGAATGACAGCAAACGGGCTAGCCCGGCAGAGCTTGTAGTCCGCCTGGATTTGTCACGAGTTTCGTTTATCTCCTCGATGCAACCCTTTTGCGATCAGCCTACTGTATCCAAACGTTTACTGGCTACTCACAGGAGGATTAATTAAAAGGTCATGACTGCAGAATTGATTCACCGATACAACAACTTAGTTTTGGTTCGTGTCGCACCATCTCCGCTTCCCACGAGTTCATCACAAGAACCAGGAGAATTTGTCCACCCTACTGCTGCAAAAGTTAAAAAGACGAGGCCATAAACTACGCTAGAATAAGCTGGGTCAACATGCCCGTCGGTGGATAGATTGTTGATGCTACTGCACGCACGTGTTTATGTCTGTGCTATAAGAAAGTTGGGATATGCCTACACGTTGTTAAGGCAACCGGATTTGCAGGGGTTGCATGTCCTGGTATGCCAGCTCCTTCACAAAGATTTGTGCGGCCGGCACAACAATCGCGCACTGCAGCTCGGCGGATTGCGAATGGCGACGTAAATACAGACAAGAACGAAGGTGGCCCACTTTTCCGGAATCTGTATGATTTGCACCATGCTATCGATGAAGAGCACTATCTTTGTAAACGAGATTTTGTTCTGAGGTCATGGCGTGGAGCGGGTATGATATCTCCTCGGTTTCGACGTGTGGCAAATCACATTATTTCGCAGTGGATAATTAAAGCCCGCTTTTCGCACTGGCAAGCTTTTCATACCCCCACAGGCTACGCGGCTACTAACAACCCGCTTGAGCAGTACCACTACACCTTAAAGCTTGTGAATGACAGCAAACGGGCTAGCCCGGCAGAGCTTGTAGTCCGCCTGGATTTGTCACGAGTTTCGTTTATCTCCTCGATGCAACCCTTTTGCGATCAGCCTACTGTATCCAACGGTTACTGGCTACTCACAGGGAAGATTAATTGAAAGGGCATGACTGCAGAATTGGTTACCGATACAACCATATTAATTTTTGGTTCGTGTCGGCCATCTGCACCTCCCACGAAGTTCTTCCCAAGAACCCAGAGAAATTTGTCCATCCTGCTCTTTCTATATGTATTAGAGAAGAGGGCCATACAATATCGTAAAATAAAGCAGAAACAGAATGGCCCGACCGTGCGCGGAATT